CGCGGCGGCCGCGCAGGCGGCCTTGCGCTGCAGCTGCCGCAGCCGCCGCGCAAGCGCGCGCTCCGCGGCGGCCTGCGCGCCGCGGCCCTCGCCGTCGCCGCTGCTGCCACTGCTGCTGGATGAGGCCCACGCGGGCCCGCCGGTGCGCGGCTCCGGCGCCGCCGCGGCCGCGGCGGCGGCCTCGTCGCCGCTGCTATGGCCTTCGAGGCAGCAGCAGCTGGCAGAGTCGCTGGGTGACACGCTCACCGCGCTCGCGCCGTCCCAGTCAAGCTCCGCGCCGCAGAACCCGCCGCCGCCGTCGCCGCCGCCGCCGCCGCAGAAAGACGGGGGCGGGGACAGGGCTGTTGCGTCCAGCTGGCGGAGGGAGTGCAGGAAGCGCAACAGGCGGTCCTCTAGGGGCTCTGTCGCCGCCAGGGGCGCCCCCTGATGTGTGCGGGAGGGGGAGGGCACGGGCGAGGCGGGCGCGCAAGAGCGTGAGATTGCAGGAGCCAGCAGGATCGCGTTGCACATTGTTTTCTCGCCGCATGGGGTGCCACCATTGATGGCACGGGAAAGCCGCAGGAAGCGCACTGCCTTGCGCCTGGCCCGCTTGCGCGTGTGGCGCCTCCGGAGGTCACGAGGGCGAACCACACCGGCCTTATCCTGTTCACCGCTCACCTTGCAGGGGCTCCAATGACCTTCATTGTCATGAGGCATGTGGACTCGCAAGAAAACTCATGCCTAGCTTCAAGTGGGGGCTTCCACGGCTCGGCGAGGCGCGCGCAACGGCGTGCCAGTGCTCCAAAAAGCGTCAGGTATAATTTTAGGCCTTCAAAGAGCAGAGGAGGAGGCCTGGAGCGAGGCTGCGTCGCAGCGGGACTTCCTTCACACGGTGCTGTGCTGCCTGTTGTTCGTCAGATATAATACTGTTTCGTTGGTAAAATGATTGTACAACTCGTGACAGCATGCACGTACTATTTCACATATGGCTTGGGCCAGGGGCTTAGAAGATCACATCAGCCAACCTCCCGATAGAGTGTATATGCATGTGGCGACGCAGCTATTTTGATGTTTATGAATATTATGACTAGTCTAAGTGCCTACTTGTCGCTTGCTGCTTGGGCAAGCAGTGCTCCGACTCCCACTGCTCCATCCTTGTCGTCTTTCATCCCCATCGCTCTTGCCAGCCCCCAGCAGTAGCAAATGAGTTGATTCATCAATCATTGTCATTGAACTTATAACAGCTTGTCACCCCTGCAGTGCACCACCCCTCAAAGCACCACCAGTCCCACACGGTTTTGCCAAGATGAGGCGTGCGGTGGTGGCGAGCCTGTGCCTGGTATTTATAGCGGGTGAGTCTTGGTCTGCAGCTGGACCAGGGGGCGGGGACGGGGCCTCAGATGGGTCGATGGGAGCCGGACCAGGGTCACCAGCGCCCTCGAAGGACTGGGGCCAGCGCTAGCCTCCCATTCGCCCAGCACGCGCATCAAGATGACAAACACGGCGATAAGAGCGGTCACAGTGCCGAGTAACCCTGCGCCGGCGGCGTCGCACCTGCTCCGGCACTCACCCGGCGGCGCTCAGTTGGAGTGCCCCCAACAGACGAGCTCGCGCCAGCGCTTCCGCCGCCCGCCCGGCTCGGCGACAGGCACCTCCACTGCTCAAGCCTCCCCCGCGCTGCCCCTGCCCGCGCCGCCCCAAGCCCGCCACCGCGCACCCCCACACCTGCCCCGCGCCGCAGGCGCGCACGCCGCGAGGCAGCAGTCGCCGGCGCCCAAGGGCGACCCCCGCCCCAACGCCGAGGTGCCGGCCATCCCCGAGGAGCTGGCCACCTTTGATGTGTCCGCCCTGGCCCCCGCCACCCCCGTGCTGCCCGAAATCAACATCACCGACGCACTTCGCTTCATCAGCCTCGTCCCCTTGGTGCGCCCCCGCGGCCTCGCGGCCCCGCCGCCGCTGCTCAACGGACCGCGGCAGGCCCTGGGTTCTGGCGCGCCGCGCCGCGTTGCGTGCGCGCGTGCCCACCTGCCTGCCGCGCAGCTTTGGGCCCTCGGCAGCCCGGCGCGAATGAGGAGCACGGGGGCACAGCGTATGAGGGCGCCGGGGCAGCAAGGGGCCCTCCCCGACCCTGCCCCTCCGTGCACGCACGCCCCACCGGCACAAGAGGCGGCCTGCACAGCTGGCTGACAGCGGTTGCTCCCCGCCGGCCCCTCCCGCCCTGCGCCGGCCTGCCACTTGCTCCCGGCAGTCGCGGCCCTCTGACAACCCCCACCCCCCCTTGCCTCCCCGCTCCCAACCCTGTGGCCGTCTCCCCCCCTCCCTCAAACCACAATCAACAGATCAACGTGACCTGGGTCGAGCAGGTGCTGCCTTACATCGTGAACATCGACCCCCAGCTTGTGGGCAGGCTCGGCGCCGCCATCATCGAGCCCATCCAGAAGGTATGAGCCCGCGGCAAATGTTTGCTTTGTGGGCCCGCAGCCTGGGGTTGGTGTTTGTTTTTGTTGGAAGGAGGGGGGGTAGCAGGCCATGATGGGGGCAGGGGCAGGGCCGCGAGGGTGGGGCTGTGTGGAGTGCGCATTGGCATGTGTGGTGTGGGGGTCTGGAGGGGGTCCGGGATGTCGGCAACGCAGGGGCGGGCCGTGCGGCAAGTACTTCCGGATTGGATGGTGGCGCGCGTCTCTTACCTCGGCTGGGATCCCAGTGGGCGGCCTCGTGTAACCTGCGACACCCTAATCGCTGCGCGCCCCCCCCCCCCAGATCGACCCTGCTGTGCTGGGTTCGCTCATCCCTTCGCTGCGCGGCCTGGACTGGAAGGGCATCGCCGAGCTCATCCCCCTGATCGGCCAGCTCGACATCAACGCCATCGAGAAGCTCGTGCCCGCGATCAACGCGTTTAAGCCCGAGGTCGTCGCGAAGCTCATCGACATCTCGACGCGCCTCACCCCGGAGACCTACAACGCGCTCACCAACATCCTCAACCTGGGCATCCCCGCCATCAACTCGCTGACCGCCAAGCTCAACCTGCTGCCCGGCCTGACGCCGCTGCTGACTGCGCCCACCCCCAGGCCGTACGTCGCGTCCGCGTCTGACAGCTCATCCGGGTTCCCCAACATCTTCAAGGTTCTGGGTTAGGGACTCAAATTCAATACGGTGCCTCCCAACGTACGCACAGGGTTCATAGCTGCCCCGCCCGGCCGGCGATGTCTTCAAGTCTTGTTCTCTGCCGTTTACCGTATTAATAGTGCCCAGATGTTGGTAGTTGGTTAGGCTGCGCCGCGTGGCGGCGCTGCGACAAGGAAAGCGGTCTCGGCCTGCCCGTGTTGGCAAGGGGGTGCGGCGGGAGCGTGAATCGGGGCCCACGCGCGGGGACCCCCCCCATCTACGATGACTGCTGCGCATCGGCCCGCACCCCGCCCCTCGATTTTTTTTGCAAATCATTATGCACATAGAAGTCTTGTAAAGAAACAGACGACGTGCTTGCGCTATCTTGCGTTGTTACAAACCGCCCAGCCTGGCTCGGCTCCATCTGCTGCTGCAGCCCACCAACTGTGCATGAGGGCCACCCCGGGTGCCGCGGCCGCATCCGTCTAGTGAGGGACCACACAATTTTCAAGGGCAGCAGCGCAAAGGCAGGGTTGCTGACAGCAGCAGGGTGCCCCGAAGCTAACGGCCCGGCCCCGGCGCAGCGCACGGGGCAAGCAGCAGGAGTGAGCGCGAATCCAGAGGGGGGGGCGGTGGCGTGCCTAAGACGCCGGGGACGCCGCGCCGGCGGCGTCGATCCGCCGCTGCTTTGCGGGCCGCGCCGAGGCGTCGGGCTCGCCCTGCCGCGTGGCCGCCTTGACCGCGGGCTTGAGCCCCTGCGGACCCTGCGGGCGCGGGAGGAGGGGGCGGGGGGGAGCGGCAGCGGTGGAGGGGTAGGCGGCAAGGAGGGAAGCGAGTGGGCAGGGGTGCAGAAGCCGGAAAACGCGCGGCGGCTTTGCAGCGAGGGTGATGGGGGTGTGGGGCAAGCCGCACGCTTTGCAGTGCAGTGTAGCGGATTTTGCCGGGGCTGCTGCCTGCCAGGGTGCGCCCTGGGAGCGCAATCCCGCCCGGTCACAATTGCAGGCAAGGGTGACGCCGACTGCTTCGTGCGCGGACCTGCAGGGGGTTGTCCTCGCGCAGCGGCGGCTTGGGCAGCTGGGCGCGCGGCGTGGGCGGCGGGGCATTGGAAAAGTAGGGGTGCGCCAGCGCCTCCGCGGCTGCGGCGGGCGGGCGGGAGGGGTCGGGCTTGGGGTTGAGGCCTGGATAAAGGAAAGGGCTGGTGGGCGCGGTCTCGACTTTCTCGGGTATCAGCGAGGCTTTGGGGGAGTGGCGCAACGACGAGCGCTCGGCGCTGATGACGTCATGATGACACACGCGCCAAGGGCGGGTACAGCGACGGCTGGCGGGAACGCGGGCGCGCGGCGTCGCTGCTGGGGGACCCGGCTTCATGCGGGCAAGAAGATTGAACCTGGCCGCTGCGCGGCCGCCTCCGATGCTGTAGCATGCAAGCGGGGACCAGACAACACAAAAACGAGAGCGATCACCCGCATGCGCGCACCCGTCGGCCGCCGCGAGGGGTCTAGTGACACCATCCGCGACAGCAGGTCCAGGGCGTCCTCTGCAGCCTGGGGGTTTCGGAGGTTTTTATATGGGTGGATTGCTTGGAAAAAACCTTCCGGGTGGCTTGCGCTGCTTGCTTTTGGTTTGAGGGTTTGCGTACGTCAATTTGTAGCGCCTTGGGAGGAGGAATTCGTGTTTGGTTGGGGGCGGTTGACCCAGAATGGCTGTCGGGGCCAACGTCTGGGAGCAAGCCCACATCAGGTTTCAGGGGCTGACCCGAGCGGCAGCAAGGCACGCTGCTGCTCCACAAGCGGCCCCCGCGGCAGCGACCCGCCGAACGCACGCCGCGCGCCGGCGGGCGCCCCCGCCCAGCGCATGACGATCGACCCCACCCCACCCAAGCACGGGGCCCCGTGTCACCTGGGGGAACTGCTGCCTGAGGGGCGGCGCGACCACCTTTTGAAATTCCACGTAGTTTGGCAGCTGCTGCACCCCCGGCCATGACTCAGGGGACGGCGTGCCCAGGGCCTGCGGCGGCGGCGCACCGGGGTCGGGGGCGGGGCAGGCGGATGGGGCCCCGAGGACCGGCGCGGCACAGGCCGCGCGCCATGCGGCTGTTCGCAGGCGCAGGCGCAGGGCGCAGGGGCGCCCCGTCGCCGGAGAGGCTCGGTGGTGCTGCCGTTGCTGCCGCAGCGCCCCGATCTAATTGGCACCGGCCCTGTCCCTCCCCCTGCCGACATCCTTCCAGAGCCCAAGCTCGTATCCCGCCCCCCCTCCCACAAACACCCCCTGTGCCCCGTTCCCAGTCCACTTGGCCCGTCCCCCCTTCACCCGGAATATCTTTCCCACCCCAGACATCTCCTACCCTGAAATGTCTCCCCCCCCTGGATAACAATCTCCCCACCTGAAATATCTTCCCCAGCTGGTCGATGTCGCTCTGCCCCGGCATCCACGGCCGCCGCATAAGAAGCTCTGGAGAGCGAGGAATGGCCGGGAGGGGGGGGGGGGGAGGCGCCGAGCGGTTGGGACGGGGCGGCGCACGCGGCGCGGCCGGGAGGCCGGCCGGCTGGAGCGCCGGGAGCGGCGACCCAGGGGTCGGCCGGGCGCGCGCGCTGCCGCCCGCCGTCCGCGGCACGGCCAGCGTCGGCGGGCCCGGCCTGGGCCCCCCTTCCGG